CCCCAAAACCCCAAAACCCCAAAACCCCAAAACCCCAAAACCCCAAAACCCCTTGTTTTTAGACAATATTGTAAAATTTATAAATTTGAATTTTTGATGTCTACAAAATCCCAGCAACATAGAGTCAGAATTAAGAAAGAAATCTCAAAATCCCTCAATAACACTTCTTCTGACTCGCTCCTTGGCCAGACTCTGAACCACGCCATGCTCGAAAGCAAGATCGAAACTGATGATGCATACCCTACGGTTGAAGAGTGGCTTGCGATGCCAGACGCTGAGAAAATAAATGTCCTGCATGACTCGCTGCTTGAACTGTACCTGAATCTGAAAATCAGGAACTTCAATAACACCATTGACTCCGAGAAAGTGGACGAAGAGCTGGATAAGCTCAAGAACGTCGAAACTCTCACGCTGGTGGATTACATTTAAGAGTTGAGTCGAAATTGTGATGGCCATGAAAGCTGAAGAAGACAAAGATAAAGTCGAAGAAGCTGTCAAACAACGAATGAAAGACCTCCACAGCAAAGGCCAGTACGACTTGTCCCAGTCTCCTGAAGAATACGAAAAGATCATTCAGAAACTGGAGGCCGAAGTGCGGAATCACATTTCTGTGCAGCAGCAAATGAAGCTATACATTGAAAGTTACCAAGCCAAAGTAGAAGAGCTGGAGCCACTGGAAGAAAAATAACTCCAAACTCAGACAGAAAGTCGGAGAACTCAGCAAGAGCAGGGACGACATCGAGCGAGACAGAAATTCTCTTCGAAAGAAGCTTGATAATAACCAGAAAGACTTCGAGAAAAGAATTGACGAGCTGACCAAGAAAGTCAAAGACCTTCAAGGCAAACTCGGTAAGAACAACTTTCATCTGTAATTGACTGTTTGATAGATGTCAGGAGTGCTAGAGAGGCCAACCAGCCATCGTCGCTGTCACGACACGACTCTAAAAGTAAATACTTCCATCACAAAAATGACATGAGCGTTGACATCCCTGAGAGTCAGAAATAGCTTGTACTACTCGTTCTTCGACAATACAAAGAAAAGTAATGCAATCGGATCAAAATAAGAACAAAGACAATTCAAAGAAGGTACTTTGGTCTCAATGTTTTAGGTGAAGTATTTCTACTTGGCAGTTCCAGGAACCAGTGTCCGCGCCAAGAACGACAAAGAAGAAGCCTTTGTGTCCTTCTCTGAACTCTCCAACAAAAACACCAAGAAGATAAAAATAAGTTCGAACAAGAAGAAACCAACTCCTTACAAAATTGACTATTACCACTACACTGGTGATAATCGCGAGAAGAAGAGCAGCTACAAACACAGTTCAGGTGAGAAGCACAAAAGGAGCAAGAGCCAGACAATCAGCTCCGTCAAAGGCCGAAAAGGAAACTCCCACTCGATCAACGACACTTCATCCGAAGAAATGTCTTACTTGCTGCAGCAACATCTGCAGAACAACAAGACGTCTTACAACCTTGTGAACGAGTACCTCGAGAACCCAGGGAAAGCAAGTAATATCACAGTTGTAAACAAAAATTCTCATTCCGAGAGTAAGTCAGCCAATAGGTCAAGAGGAAAAAGACTCCAAAACGTAGGAAATAATGGCTTGATCAAGGCCAAGCGCACTCAGACAAACAACGCAAACATGATCAAGAAAATTGCGTTCAAGTCCTTCGACAAACGGAGAGCCGGAACCAAACTCGAAAGGAGAGAAGGAAGCCTCGATGACCCTCTTTCGTTTCTGAGGTCGTCCAGTGCCTGAAACAAGTACACTTTTGAAAAACAATCGGCAGGGAAGAAGTCGAACCGTACCACCAAGACAGGCCATTCCAAAAGTAAGCGACTGACTTTTACTGACACTCTAGAACAAAGTAAGATGAGGAACAGCGGGAATGCAGGCAACTATTCGAAGATTGCACCGAACAACGCTATGTGACGGTTCATGAAAAGCAATATTAGGTAGCTTTAGAAGTCCAGCACTCGTACAAAATTATTCAATCAAAGCCACTTGTAAAGGGGTTTTGGGGTTTTGGGGTTTTGGGGTTTTGGGGTTTTGGGGTTTTGGGGTTTTGGGG